TCTCTCTCTTTCTCTCTCTCTCTCTCTCTCTCTCAGTCTCTCTCTCTCCCTCTCTCTTTCTTCTATTTGTTTCGACATTCCCTCTTTCACAGCTATTATTTGCATTTGCATGAAAATATTGTTGATGTGTAAAAAAATACTAAAAATAAAGGTTGCTTTAGTCAATTGTTGATGTGTTATCTCATGTTGTATGTGTTCATTGTTATGGAGATAATGTTATTCTTTAGAGACTGAAATTTTTTTATTTTTTTTTTTCAATATTGTTTTGTTTTCTGCGTTCGCTCTTATACTGTTCTACTTATTCATGAAAAAACAACCAGGTGAGTATCCTTCAAAGTATGGACATGGGATAATATTAAAGACCGGTTAAAATCAATAAGAAGATTGAAAGAAAAAAATATAGACGGAGAAAGGTCGCAAAGTTGATGAATAATTAGGACAAAAGAATCTCAATCATAAAAGAAAACGGAACAATAAGTTTGAGCCCTCTCCCTGCAGACGGTCTCGAAGGAAGGCAAACGATGCTTAAGAATAGACAAGGTACGTATGAGTGTCTTACGAGGGGCGATGAAAATACTAAAGCGCTTATGTGAAGAAAATTAAGTCTTATTGGGAGGGTTGGGTCAGACTACGTATTTCTAATGAATATTGGAGAAGCAAACGATCCGGTAATGAAGGGATAAAACTGACAATAATTGTAGCGTTTTCCCCAAGGCTTCCGTGTTATCCCGAATGACCTCCTCTTACCTAACCCCGTTCCAAAAAGTCATGTTCTCTACCCTCTTTGCTCCTATGTCATCAAAGTCGCACAAGCAAAAGAGGAAAAGAAAGGTGATGCCATCAATGGTTTGCCCGACCTTGATCGCTAGGAATGACTCTTCCTGGAACCATGACCTTCGAGGCTGGTTGGGGAAAGGTGCGGCATGCCGCATAGACTCATTTATGGGGGTGTTGCAATGCTGTTACGGGGGAGCCAACGCCTACTTCTGAGATCTGGGCCTCGTGCTCACGCGAGGAGAATGGGTACTACATACTACTTCCTAGCGATCGGGGCTCAGAAAGGTCGACGAAGACATTTTACCTTCTTGAAATCTTTTGTGGACAGATGGCTGACTTAGGATACATAAGGCTGCCCACAAATAGGGACTGCCTCGATTAAGGTGGATTGGAGTCAAAATAAGTTATGATCCCAGTGACAAATTTATCCGAACAGGAGAGTGGGCCCTACCAGAGAATGACAAAGGGCAAACGTGGACAGACGAGGTACGTATGACTCTATTGCATGGGGCCCTGAAAAGACTTAGGTGCGTATAGCATCACAAATCGAACATAAGAACCGAATGAGGCATAGGAACAAAATAAGAGGCGTCTTAATTGACCTCGATAGGAGTCCAAAGAGGTGGCTATGCAACTATACATTTATATTTGCACGAACAAAGAAATTCCGATCTGAATTATTAACATTGATTAAGCTCGATAGCGTGCTAAAAAACAAAGAAAAACGAACTGACTCCTTATTTTCTTTGATCTTCCGTGCTTCGCATTCGGCTGTGTTGAACTGCGTCTTCTTTGTTTTTCCTGTATTTTTTTCATTTTCTACTTGACACTATATTACACATATATATGGATATTTTGACGTGTTTTCTTTTCGTTGCGGTTGTCTATATGAATCTTTTTCCTCCTATCCGTCGTGACGTGCCCATGTACAAATACGTACGTACGTGCCCATTAATTAATATGGCAGAGGACCAAGATCCACGTGATGGTTCAACCAACAATAATTTATCCAATATTCCAACATTCTTTTCACCTGTGGATAATTCGTTGCATGTTCCGTGAAAGCGTAGCAAACGCCATCGGCCTTTCGAAAGGGTTATTAATTATCCTTTGGTGTCCTCGTCAGTAGTATCAGAGTGTACTCGGTGTCCTGCCATTGTTCCATGTCAAGTCGGTTTGTGTTCGTGGGACCCTTCTTCCTCATCGAACCATCGATTGAGACTGCGTATAGGTTCGGATGTTACTCTCTATCGCTTTACGAGTGAGACAGCGATGCCATCACAACACGAACACCGCAAACGCGGACTACCACCTTCCTAAAGTCATCGAACCCGAAGGTCTTTACTACAAGCGGTAGGTGTTGTAGGTGAGCCGACTACTTGCAGGAGAGATAAACAACCGGTGGTAAGTCAAGATTATGGTTTTGATT